TGTCTTTAACAACCCACAAACTTGAGGGCTTAAAAACTACCTGTGGAAGTTGTTATCCCATTGGAAATGTGGAACTTTTCAGCTTTCCTGTGGAGCAAGGAGAGTCGGGTATCACCCACCCATGTGTTTGCTCAGGGCCTTATTGAAGTGTAAATACCCCGTGTGCTTTGATCTGCAACATTGCTAAATATCCTGGGCTGGGGTGAGCTGATAGGAAACTGTTTCCCTACTTATTTTATTTCTCTTTAGTGCACAGGTTCGCCTTGATCCTCCCACCCTGCAGGGTGGAGACCCCAAATTATGGTGGAAATTTATGGCTTGTTTGTTGTTGCCTTCGATGGGCATCTGTTAGTGGGAGCAGCAGCTGCTTAAGTAGGAGTGGGTTTAGAAAGGAATTCATGGGGGGAGATGGAAAAGGTTGGTGTTATGTGGGGTGTTCCCAGAAGGAAAACTGACTCAGGGATTATTTGTAGCCGGGGGGGAGCAGGAGGACTCCCCCTTCCTCCCAGCTGCAGCTTTCCCAGCACAAAGAAACTCCCCCAAAACAGTTGTTTTAGGTCCCTTTGTGATCTTGTGTGTCAAGTGTAATTTTAAAAAAGTGTTTTCCCCAGAATTCATGAGTTTGGGGTTTATTTGTCTGATTTGATTCAGTGGTCACTGAATAATGTCACAGGGAGGTTAAACCCAGTCTTGTGCTCCCATCCTGCTGCCTTTGCTCAGGACGGGCTGTAGCGCCTTGGTGTTAAACTGTTGGGGCTAAACCCCAAAGATTTGGGGATGTCAGCAGGGTGGCACCGTTGTGGTTTTGCTTTGGGTGAGTTGGAGGAATGGGAATTCCTGCAGGAGGGCTGGGACACCCCGGTACCAGGGTCACCCCTGGGCAGAGTTCGTGAGAGGCCCCCGAGCTGCCCCCTGCTCCTCCCACTCCTTCGTGTCCTCCAGGACCTTCCCAAAGCCACGGGGCTGCTCCCGTGCCACGCCGGGCCTGAGGCCGTGTCACAGCCCAGTGCAGAGCCCACAGCGGGTCACGGCTGTCCCTGAGCCTGGGGACATCCCCCGGGACCCCCGGCACATCACAGCCGTTCCCAGCCCTGGCTCCATCCACCCGGGACAGCCTGGTTGTTCCCATCCCTGTATCCACACCGGGATATCCCAGCTATTCCCAGCCCTGGCTCCACCCTGGAACACCCCAGCTGCCCCATTCCTGGGTCCGTCCTTGGATCCATCCCAGGACATCCAGGACACCCCAACCATCCATCCCCCGATCCTTGAATCCATCCCAGGACATCCCGACTGTCCCGTTCCCCTCCCTGCCCCAATCCTTGGATCCATCCCGGGACATCTTGACTGCCCCACTCCTGCCTGTTTCCATCTCCAATCCCATCCATCCCTGTTCAGTTTTGCATTCCTATCCCTGTACCCTTTCCCATTCCCATCGCCATTCCCATCCATCCCATTCCCATTCCCTGTTCCCGTTCCCATCCCTATTCTCTGTTCCTGTTCCCTTCCCCATTCCCATTCCCCACTCCCATCCCCAGTTCCTGTTCTCATTCCCATTCCCTGTTCCTGTTCCCATCCCCATTCCCCATTCCCATTCCCATCCCCCGTTCCTGTTCCCATCCCCATTCCCCATTCTCATCCCAATTCCCTATTCCCCTTTCCCCTTCCCCGTTCCCATTCCCATTCCCATTCCCCATTCCCGTCCCCGTTCCTTGTTCCCATCCCCATTCCCATTTCTATCCCTGTTCCCGTTCCCATCCCTATCCCCGTTCCCGTTCCCATTCCCCATTCCCGTTCCCATTCCCGTTCCCATTCCCGTTCCCATTCCCGTTCCCATTCCCGTTCCCATTCCCGTTCCCATTCCCGTTCCCATTCCCGTTCCCATTCCCGTTCCCATTCCCGTTCCCATTCCCGTTCCCATTCCCGTTCCCATTCCCGTTCCCATTCCCGTTCCCATTCCCCGTTCCCATTCCCCGTTCCCATCCCTATCCCCGTTCCCGTTCCCATTCCCCGTTCCCATTCCCCGTTCCCATCCCTATCCCCGTTCCCGTTCCCATTCCCGTTCCCACGGGCGGTGCTGGGGGCGGGGCTGAGGGCGGGGCTGGGGCGGGGCTGAGGGCGGGGCTGAGGGCGGGGCTGTGGCGCGCCCGGAAGTGCCGCTGTCGCCACGGCAACGGCGCCGTGCGGCGGGCGCGGGGCAGGTGAGGGGCGGCGGGGCCGCCGCGGGACCGGGACCGGGACCGGGACCGGCACCGGCACCGGCACCGGCAGCGGGACCGGCACCGGGGGAGGGAGCGGGGTCCGCTTCTGGGGCTGTGCAGCCGCCCTAGCGAGCCGGGCTCTGCCGGCGGGGCTGCGCTCCTGCCGTGGGCTCAGCCCCAGGCCCAGCTGTGGCACCGAGGGCTCTGCCTGGGGCTGTGCCAGCCCTCACCAGGACAAGGGCAATGGGCAGGGTCTGATGCCCAGGAAGTTCCACCTGAACATGAGGATGGACTTCTTTAAACACCTGGAATACATTGCCCAGAGAGGCCGGGGAGTGTCCCTCCCAGAGATAGCCCAGAGCCGCCCGCACACAGCCCTGTGCCCTGTGCCCTGTGCCCTGTGCTCTGGGCCGGCCCTGCTGGAGCAGGGAGGTGGCACCGGCTGAGCTGCCATTGTCCCTTCCAGCCTGACGCAGCTGGGATCCCGTGCAGGGATCAGGGGTGTGCAGTGCCGGCCTCCCAGGCCCTGGGGGCACCGTTCTGGGGCACCTGTGGGCACAGCCCTCGCTGGCTGTGGTTCCCCATCCCACCCCTCACCAGCCCCCGTGTTTTCAGCCTGTCCCCTGTGCCATGCGCCGTGCTGGGGCAGTGCAGGCACTCGCGGGGGGCCCCCCCAGGGCTTCTGCCGGGTTGGTTGGTCGGGGGTTCGTTCTTGGAACTGGCAGCGTCGCTGGGGATATTTGTAAGTGCTCCTGGGCGCTTGGGAGTTCTGCCTCAGGGCGTTGTTGCCTTGGAGTTTATTTGTTAGCTGCAGTAAGGGCCAGGTACAGCCCCTGTCCCTCCCACAGGCTCCTGGGAAGCTGGGATGAGTCACCTGGGCCAGTGTCCCTGTCCCCTTCGGCTGGGGGCTCAGGGGGGACAGGTCTGTCAGCTGGGGCTGGGCAGGGTGTGCTGGGACTCTGCCTTGGCCGTGCTGAGCTGGAGGATAAATGAAATGTTAAATAACAAACACATTGCTGGCAAAGTGCCACAGGGGCTGTTCTCTCTGTTTGGTTTGGAATAGAATCCCAGATGGGTTTGGGTTGGAAGGGAACTTTAAAAACATCTTGTTCCACCCCTGCCATAGGCAGGGACATCTTCCCCTGTCCCAGGCTGCTCCCAGCCCTGTCCAACCTGGCCTTGGACACTTCCAGGGATCCAGGGGCAGCCACAGCTGCTCTGGGCACCCTGTGCCAGGGCCTGCCCACCCTCACAGGGAAGAATTTCATCCCAAGGTCCCATGTAACCTTGCCCTCTGTCATTGGGAAGCTGTTCCCCCTTCTCCTGTCTCTCCAGGCCCTTGCCCACAGTCTCTCTCCATCTTTCCCATCCGTTCCCATCAGGCACTGGAAGGCCACCCTGGAAGTCACCCTGGAGCCTCCTCTCTCCAGGCTGAACAATCCCAATTCTCTCAGCCTTTCCTCCCAGCAGAGCTGCTCCATTCCTCTGCTCATGCTGGTGCCTCCTCTGGACTCTCCAGCAGCTCCAGCTCCTCCCTGTGCTGGGGACTCCTGTGCTGGAGGCAGCTCTGCAGGTTGTTCTCCCAGAGTTTCTCTTCATTCCTCCTCCACCCAGGTGTGCCTGGGATGGCCCCAAGCCAGGTGTAAGGTTTTGCCCTTGGCTTTGCTGAGCTCCTGAGGTTTGCATTGAGCAATGCACTGCTGGGGGACAAACAGCAGCTGAATGTGTCATTTCTGGAGAATGCCAAGCAATCCAAGGTGACCTTTTTCCACCCCCCTTGGTAAATGCTGCTACAAAAGCCACAGGAACAGAGGAGGCGGTTCCCTGTGGCACTTGTCCAAAATGTTGCTGTGAGGTTGTGACCCAGTGGCTGTGCTGTCTGTCCTGGCTGAGAGCTCCAGGCACAGCTTCCTTTGGGAAACACGCAGCAGAACGTGGCTTCCTCCTCAGGGGAGGTTGTATCACAGAATCATGGAATATCCTGAGCTGGAGGGGACCCACAAGGATCATCCAGTCCAGCTCCTGGCGCTGCACAGACACCCCAACAATCCCATCCTGTGCATCCCTAAAGAGCCTTGTCTAAATGCTGCTGTGGCAGCCTCAGGGCTGTGCCTGGGGAGCCTGGGCAGTGCCCAGCACGCTCTGGGGGAAGAACCTTTCCCTGATATCCAGCCTAAACCTCCCTGAAAGAGCTCCAGCCATTCCCTCAGGTAAATCATTCTCTGGTAAGCAGAATTTTGGACACTTTTGGACCAAGCTTTTGGTAATTGGAAAGTCAGAACAGGTGTCTGTGTATTGAATCAGGGTTTTTCAATCTCAATGATTTTGAGATACCTTTAAAATATGAAGTCAGTCTTATCCCAAAATCCACAACAGGAACTGAATCTGCCACTGCAGGACCAGTGAGAAGGCCAGAGTTGTGCTCTGAGCTTCACTCATCTCCTATTTGTGTTGAGTTTCTAGCTTCAGAAGAAAGAAATTGTTCTTTCCATCAAAAACTTAGATTCAGTGGCAAAGGGCATGACTCCCCAAAGCTCTGGGTCAACTTTACACAATTCCTGCCAAAGCCAGTCCCTACAAAGAACACATCTCCCACCCTCTGGGACTCAGCCCTTACTGCACTGCAGGGTTGCAGTGATGCCCAGTGATACCCAGTGGTGCCCAGTGGTGCCCATGCAGTGATACCCCAGATTTATTCTGTTTTTACCTGACAGGCAGCACAGCATGGGAGCCTCGGGGAGATGGAAGTCTCCTGGCCAGTTCCTGTAGCTTTTCCCTCTGCTCCATCCCACAGGTGCGATGGCCACAGCGGCTTTCCAGGACTCAGCACCAGCTCAGTTCCACTTCCCTCTGGGCACAGCCACTCTACTGTGGGCCAGCACCATCACCATGCACGTCTCCAGGCCCAAATCTGCCAAGGGACAGAGGCCAAGCTTGAGCCACAGTCAGGGCACAGAAGCCTGTCCGTGCCACGTGCCATGTTCCCCGCCGGCAGCCTCTCCTCGGGAATTAGTGAAGAGCCGGAGAGCACCGCTCACAAAAGCAGCATTCCCACCTGCCCAGGTGTCTCCTGGGAAAATCCCAAAGCTCCTGCAGCAAGTGCCTTTGAAGACCTGCTCCTCCTCCCTGAACAGGTACCGGGTGCTCCCCTCCATCGGCCGGAAGGGCGCAGGGAGCAGTGCCGTGGAAGCGCTGGCTGAACGGACCAACCGGCTGGAAGTGAGCGAGGGGCAGGAGGATGCTCCAAAAGCCATCAAGCCTTTTTCTGGAGGACAGGGATCTGCCAGCAAACTGTCAGGAAGTGGCATTCCCACCGAAGACAGCTCACAAGTGTACTGTGCCCCTGAGCAGCGGGGAAGGCAGGTGAGGCAGGAGAGCCCCTGGGTGTTCCCTGCAAGCTCGGAAGAGCCGCACGTGCTGCTCGCTGTCCGATCTCCCTCTGGGCAGAGGTTTGAGCACCACTTCAAGGCCTCTGACAGCCTCCAGACCGTCCTTGCTGTGGCAGGACAGAAACTGTTGGCCAACTACCAACACTGCAGCATTGAAACCATGGAGGTGCCCCGGAGGAGCTTCTCTGACCTTACAAAGTCCCTTCAGGAGTGCGGGATCCTCCCCAAGTCCGTGCTGTGCATCCGACAGGACGAGCAGCAGGATGCAGCAGATCTCTAGGCACACAGAGACGCCGTGGGTTCTTCTGCTCAGTGGGGTGCAGTGCTTCTTCCAAAAAACTAAGAGTCTGATGCTTCCTGCACCTACTTCTTAATCTTCTATCTCCCACAAAATCCCCAGGAAGCAGAGTTATGGATATGTAACAGTACTTGAAATAGTATTTCAGATGCATAAACTCGATTCATACAGAACAGCCTGTGTCACCTGTGCCATCACAAATTTCTGCCTCAGCACCACCAACCTTCAGCCTTCCTGGTTTGTTGAAGTTCCTGATGTTCTTTGAAAACTCAGGTATTCAAGACCTCTCCCCTTGTCCTTTTCTATGTTTTGGGAAGGTACCACTTCTCTGAATGCAGAAGCACCATTTGAGAAGGTAGAAACAGAACTGGTTTAGCTACAGGACCACCTTCAGTAGATTATCATTATGCTAAATGTCTTCTCAAGAGACTGAAAAGGAGATCAAACCCCAAACCCATCTGGAAATAACAGTAATAACACATTAATGAGTTATTGTGAAGTATTAAATTGCAAGACTGATTGTAAGATAGCTGTGAGGGCTCAGGTCTTTCTGGGTAACCTCAGTCCAGCTCTTAACTGTGATTAAATCATCTTTTTAATAACAAATAATTATTATTTTGCCTTGGGGCAACAGGATTTTCTCCTTAGTTTTCCTTCTCTTATTTGGCTTATGTGATCCATAGGTAAGAAGAGGTGGATAGTTAAGAAGGGATTTTACAGATAATTTAACCCCTTTACACTGAAGTTAGTCCAAGGAGCAAGTGCTGCTTTGGGAATTTTTAAATAAGATATTAATGGGATTTGACTGGGAATTGGCTCAAGGAGTGAGCCATCTTTTACTAAACCATCATTAAAAGGCTGGTTGGGTGACTTGGCAGGTTGAGGCAAACACAATGTGCTTGTGCTAAAAAAAGAGAAATATCTTCTAGTTTTTAATGGAATTTCAAAGGCAGTAATTTTTAATCTCCTTTAACAATGCCACACAGATGAGTGAGTTTAAATGTTTTGAGGCAAACCAAATTTATTTTGAAGCTCAGTGTAAGTGCCAAACCAACCAGGCACAGGAGCACAAACACAACAGGAGCAGAAAGCTGATGGCTGGTGCTGGCTGTGAGTGTGGCACATGATGCTAAATCAAGTTTTGTAAAACCAGTATCTGATGGAACAGTGGTCCCTGCTGCTGTGATGGGATTCACTCAGCAGCAGTCCTGGATATTGAAACATCTGGATGCCTTCAACAGAACCAGAAAGTATTTACTTGGTTTCAGGAAAAGGGACCATTTTCCAGTTTCCTTCAGAGTTAGGTAGTTAATTCCCTCTTTCTGCCTGTTGTGGGTACTGTGTTACTCCTACACTTCAGAGTATTTTAATCCTGTGTTAAATAAAACCTTTTAGGCTGAAACTTCAACTTTAAATGATTTACATGAGCTGAGGTTTATCCATCACACCTGCTCTTAAGAAACCTTCAATTTGATGGCAAATACCTCAGGGGCTGCCCAAATCAGCAGCTGCCTTTGGATGGTCAGCTGCCCTCCACACCACCTTCCTGAAGTTTGTATCTGTATCCTGTGCTCACTACAAGCTTGCAGCCAAGGAAGAAGCACATTTCATCAGTGACAAGCTGTGACCAGAGCTGGGGACCACCAGGCAGCTGTGAGAGCACAGGGGCTCTGAGCAAGAACAGAACAATCAGACAAGTCAGAGTAACTTGGCTCATGGTGGATTTCTCATGCTGCAGGATGTTCCTCCTGACTAAGCTGGATGAGTTTGGTTCTAATCACCTCACCCAGCCTACAGCATCTACAAAGATGGGCAAAAAATATCAAGTCTTGATCTAGGCAAGCACAGCACAGGGAAAACACCTCTTTTCTCCCTCAGTTCTTCTCTTCCCTTCGGAACTGTTCTGGGGAGATTTTAGCAGCAATTTTAAACCCAGCACAAGAAGCACAGGGGGAAGAACAATATACTCATCTGACCTCATTTATTGTGTGGCATCATTTAACAAGCTTCTTTGTGGGAATCTTTTAAGAATTTCAGCATTAAAATTCATTCTGTCACAAATATAAAACTTATCAGGACTTTTGGATGAGAACGTCCTTACTGAGGCTTTTAAACACCAACAAAGTATTCAAGTAAGAAGTCAGCAAAGGGATTGTTCACTATGTGTTCTTTAATTCCAATTAAAAGTACATTAGAAACAGCACACAGGACCAGCAGCAGCTTCCATGACAATTCAACCCAATACTCTGCTGTCACCAGGTCATTCAACTGTACTAGGAAAGTAGGTGATTAAATCAAGTCTTCCACTCCACACGCAAGCACTCACTCACCTGCCACTTTAAATAGGATTCCAACAGAATAAAAATAGATACACCCCAGAATACAAAAAGTTTAATTTTAAGCTGTTTTTTTTTCTTCACTAAAGCCTTTATACAAATTGATAAAAGGGTGCACAATTTCCTAAAATTTTAGGTACATTTTAAATGAGCCTTTTTTTACTTGGTAAAAGGATCCATATTCCTGTCTTTGAACAGAATATGATGGCCAAAATTGCAAAGAAAACAATTCAGTTTAAATTTACAATTTATACATTTGTTTTGACATGATTCCCACGCTGAGTAGCAGGCCCATGGCTGCTCATGCATGTCCCATTTCCCCCCAACAAAGAGCTGTGCACCCTAAGTTCTGGTTCAGGAGCCTCCTTCTCCTGGAGACTGGGCTGGGGGAACAGCCCACAGTGTCCAGCTGTGTGCACAAGAGTGGTCCCAACACACAGAAGGCATCATCCTTCCTTCTTCAGGAGCTGTGAATCCTTCCTTCTCCAAGGAACACCCCGGGGCAGGGACCAACAGTATTTTGCACTATGGAGCACTTCCCACCTGCAATTTGGCTGAGCAATTTGACTCAAAACTCTGGTACTGAAACATACTGCAACAGGTAAATTTGGTGTTCTAAAGGTACATTTTTTTGGTCAATCCAGGCTATCATGATTTGTTTGTTCTTTTAATCCTGTATCTGATGGGTGAAGCCCATACATTACCCATGCTGAGCTTCACAGCACGGTGCATTTAATCAATGGTGAATTTCATTCACAGAGGTGAATTTAATCAGGCAATCCATTAGTACAGTTCCCTTCATACTGCCCCTCCCACCCCACCCACCCACACCATAGCCAGGTTAAACACTTGGGATGAACTTCTGTAGTGTCACCACCACCCACGTCACAGAGAGCGGCCATCCCAACAAATCCAGGACAAGGAAAAGAAAATACTGCCCAGCAAAGCGACACGGCACCTGTGTTTGCAAGTAGGAGCTACTGGAGACATCCTCAGGACAACTTATGTAAGGAAAAGCAGGGCAAATCCATCAGAAAGCCAGAAATGAGTCTTAAAGAGCCCAGGGGAGCGCCAAAGAGAATGACATCCTAGTTTGTACAAGTTAAGTATTTAGCCAAAAAACAGCTGCCTTGTTTGGGGTTTTTAGGTTTTCTTTTTTTTATTTTTTCGTTTCCTTATGTCCATTATATACTCAGCTGTTGAATTGAAACTGATCAGGTTAATGCTGCACATTATTCCAATTAAAGAAAATAATGTTTTTTTCCTTTTAAAATTTTAGGTATTCCCTATTGCCTCTCTTTTGGCAAGTGTATTTCTCAGAATTCCAAAGATCATCCCATTTTAAGGCTAATCTAAGAAATGTTAAAAGCTTCTGTAAACATTTCCTCTTCCTCCCCATAGTTGCACAATTTGAAGTCCAACTGCAATTTTGAACATGAGGTAATTTTTGTGTACTCATATCTTGAAGAGTCCTTTTCAGGACGAGCCGAGAGGCTGTGCCAATCCAAACACTGATCCAATTGTAGTGGGAGAGCTTCCACAGCAGGGCACACACCAGTTCCAGCAGCTATTTCAGTTATTTATCTTCTCAATTTCATCCAGGTCGTCAGTATCCAATTTGTTTATCTTTTTGTCTGGGAAAGAAGAGAAATAGGTCAGATTTCTTAACACTGAGCAGAGAAGGGAATGCTGCTCTCCTTGGCTGGACCTGAGTTCTGCTTTATCAGGGAATGTTCAGTCGGGTTTTAAAAATACAAATTAAAACTGTTTCCTTTTACCAAAGGCCCATCTGGGTACTCCAGTGCTACCCACCCCTGAACATCCACTTCAAGAACTATCCAGGCAGACAGCAAACAGAGCCTGATTTATTCTGCTCCTGTCAGAGGCAGCAGGTCACAATCCCAAGCAATGCTACACCAAACACTCCTGCTGTGCTCTTCTGCCACCTGTTTAAGGCTCAACAAACACCCTTAGACCTGCTCAGCATCCAACAAATCAAATTCTGCAGTGATTCAACAGTTTAGAGAAAGGAGAAAGCCTGAGGGTACGTACTGAAATGTTCCTGGATTCTGTTGAGAATGTTCATGCTGTGCTTGCTGTCCACCATGTTAATGGCCAGCCCTCGCTTGCCGAAGCGGCCGGTGCGGCCGATGCGGTGCAGGTAGGTCTCGTTGTCTGGATTTCCATCCTTATCCACAGGCAGGTCAAAATTGATAACAACAGAGACCTGCTCTACATCGATCCCTGACAAAAAGAGAGCATCGGGTTACACAACTTCACGTCTTTTTAGAGCAGGAACAGCCTCCTCACACTCTGAAATGGAGCTTTTCCACACTACCCTCACAGGGTGGAAATAAAAACTATTGAGCTGTTAGGGCAGAGAGTCCCACTGAAGCAGCCAAAGACACTTAAATATTTTGGAAGTTCTACCAGCACTTAAATATTTATTCCAGAAACTCTCTCCTTCCCTGCAAAGCTCTAAAGACCACTTGTTTTTTTCCCAAGTACAATCCTGTCTTAACTGTTCTAGGATGTCAAATTACACCACAAATCCTACTGGGATGGTGAACTGGATTTCACTGTTTTTCAGTTTTCCATACTTGGGCACACGTTCACTGCAAACCCTGAATGTCACCAGCCCGAGAC